TAGGCATATTTAAAACAAATAAATAGAACTTCTGGAAATGAAAAATTCACGTAGATAAATTCAAAACACAGTGGAAAGTTTTAAGAGTAGACTAGACAAACCAGAAGAAAAAATTTCAATCTTCAAAACAACTCTTTCTAATTAACCCAGTCAGTCAAAAACAAAAAAAGAAAACAAAGAATCAAGAGGAACAAACAAAGTCTATAAAAAATATGAAATGATTATAAAATGGCCAAATATAAGAATCATAGCCATCCCTGAGAGTCAAAAAGAAAAAGCACAAGGCCTGGAAAACCTATTGCATGGAATAATTGAGAAAAATTTCTCTGTTCTTACTAGGGAATTAAACATTCAAGTACTAGAAGCTCAACAAACACCTGGGACAGTCATTGCAAAAAGGGAATCAGCAAGGCATATAGTCATCAGACTGGACAAAGTCGACAGGAAGGAGGAACTCCTATGAGCCATGAGGTAAAAACATCAAGTAACATATAAAGAAAAACTCATGAGATTAACAGGTGATTTCTCAAAAGAAACTTTGCAAGCCAGAAGGGAATGGACTCCTATCTTTAGTCTCCTTAAATAGAACAACTGTCAGCCAAAAATTGTGTATACTGCTAAGCTAAGTTTCAAAAATGAAGGGGAAATAACATTTTTCACAGGTAAGTAGATACTAAGGGTATTTGTCACTACTAGACCCACCCTAAAAGAAATGCACCAAAAATTTTGTATACTGCTAAACTAAGTCTCATAAATGAAGGGGAAATAAAGTTTTTCACAGATAAGTAAATACTAAGGGATTTTGTCATTACCAGACCCACCTTACAAGAAATGCTCAAAAGTCCATTATACATGCAACAACACATTAGATACCAACCAGTATAACCCAAAATTTATAGCTCACAGCTCTTATAAACCAATAGCACAAGAGGAATACAAAACAATAAGGTGTCATTCAACATGTTGAACAGAATAGCATCCCACATATCACTACTAACACTCAACATGAATGGTCTGAATGTCCAACTTAAAAGTCATAGACTGACTGAACGGATGAAAAAACACAACCCAAATATTTGCTGTCTCCTAGAAACACATCTAAACTGTAAGGACTCACACAGCCTCAAGGTAACGGAATGGACAAAAATATTCCATGCAAATAGAAACCAAAGATGAGGTGGTGTCACTATTTTTAAATCAGATAAAATAGAATTTAAATCAACAGTGGTTAAAAGGGAAAAAAAAGATGGTCGTTATATAATGGTAAGAGAACAATAAGAAGACATAACAATCCCAAATATATAGGCACATAACACTGGAGCTCTGAGCTTCATAAAGCAAATTGTTCTAGATGAAACCAAAGAAATAAACACTAACAACTTAATACTTGGGGACCTCAACACTCCACTGCCAGAATTGACAGGTCATCAAAGCACAAAATGAATAAATAAACACCAAACTTAAACAGTATTTTAGAACAAATGGACCTAGCACTCATTTATAGAACATTCTGCATATACTTCTTTTTCCTTAGCAACTGAGTCAGTCTCAAAGACTAATCACATCTAATGCCACAAAACAAGTATCAGCACATGCAAAATCATCAAAATCATACCATGTATCTTCTCAGACCACAGTGGAATAAAACTAGAAATCAATTCCAAGGGAAACACTTAAATACACACAAAGTTAGGGAATTTAAACAACCTGTTGCTGAATGTTCGTTAGGTCAGTGATGACATTAAGATGGAAATGAAAACATTCCTCAAACTGTATGACAAAGGGGTCAAAACTATGGCTTCCAAAATCTAAGGGATATAGAAACAGTAGCCATAAGTGGAAAGTTCATAGACTTAAATGCCCACATCCAAAGGACAGAAAGATCACAAATTAACAATCTAATGTCACATCTCAAGGAATGAGAAAAAGATGAACAAAACAAACCCAAAGCCAACAGAAGAAATGAAATAACAAAGCTCTTAGTAGAACAAAACTGTTGGAAACAAAAACAATACAAAAGATCAATTAAAGAAAAAGTTGATGCCTGAAAACATAAATAAAATGAGTAGACCACTAACCAGCTTAACCAGAAATAGAAGACAAAGGACTCAATCAGAGATGAAAATGGAGACTTTACAACTGATACACAGAAATACAAAATATCATCTACAAATACTATGAAAACCTCTACACAAAAAAACTACAAAACCTAGTGAAAATGGAAAATTCTTGAAAACATACAACTTCGCACGCCTTAATCAAAAAGAAATAGAAACCAACTTCTATTGAAACAGACCAATAATAAGCAGTGAAAGACATAATAAAAAAAATCTAACAATAAAAAGCCCCTGACCTGACAGATTCACAGGCAAATTCTACCAGACATAAAAAGAACTGGTACCTATTCTACAGAAACTACTTCATAACATCGAAGAGGGAAATCTCCCTAATCTGAAGCTAGTATCATCCTGATTCCAAACTCAGGAGTGAACACACTAAAAAAGAAAACTACAGACCAATATCTCTTATGAACATAGATGCAAAACTCCTTAACAACAAAATGCTAGCAAACTAAATTCAACAAACAATCAAAAAATAATCCACCATAATCAAGTGGATCTCATCCCACGGATGCAAGGATGATTTAACCTACACAAATCAATAAATGTGATTCACTATATAAACAGAAACAAAAACAAAGACCATATGATCATCTTAAAAGATACAAAAAAAACATTGGATAAAGAATGGAAAAAGAGCCCAGAGATGAGAAAGGAGTCGCTCTTCATTCAGCTCAATCACTTACGACCATCTGGGGTTCTCACCCTTCTACTAGCTGCAGCCACAACTCAACAACCTCCACCTTCTTGTCCCTTATTCTTGCCTTCACCTTGTCACTCAGCAGCAGACCTGCTAATGTGGTAACAGTGTCATTTTCAATTAAACCAAACCAGAGTATTTTGGCAAGTCTACTTGTATGGTGACATCCATCAAAACCAAGAGAGCACACACAGGTCTAGGAGGTCTGCGAGGTCACTAGGCCCGCCCCTCTTTCATCCCACTCCCATGGTTTTATATTTGGGTGGAGCAAACACCAGCATTGCTGATGTGGGCAGCCTTCCTGAGGAGATGCAGCCGCTCCTGCTCCTGTTGGCCTTTCTTCTGCCTCCCAGGGCTGGGACAGGTAAGTGACCATTGCTATTCCAGAGGCCTGAGCCCATCTTACAAAATCCCCTGTATCTGTGACCCCTGTACCTAGCACTGGTCAGGAAGTTTCCTCAGTCTGCCCCAGCTCCCATCTCACACCCAGACTTCTAAGTCTGATGCTAGATAGACACTCAACAAGGATGGCCGAAGGAAGGACATTCCCTAAAAGGTTTAGTAGGTGTTAACCTCTCTGCAGACCTCTCCTTGATGACCTAGAAAGTGGGTTGTTCTTAGAAAGGCATTTGGTAGAAAATGTGAAGCTACAAAAGATAAGTAATACTCAACCCTCACTCCAACCCAGGAAAAGGCAGCTCTAGGTATTTCCGATTCCTTTGAGCTTTATTTGGCTAGTATGGTTGTCTGTCCATAAAATTATTTCTTTGTTGAAATGCCCCCTATATATTAGGGAGACAAATGATTTCAGGAATTTTGCAGGGTTTTGCACTGAAGGAATCTGTGAACGTGTTAGTTTGCATATAAAAGGCTGCCTGGCTCTTGGTGGGGGAGGGTGTCTTAAAGGTGAGTAGCAGCTGTTTTCCAAGGGATGCTTGCAGTCTCAAACCTGTGATTTTCCCCTGCTTTGAATGACAAAGCAGGTCTACATGGAGGCACTGGATGAGAGCTGATCAAAGAGTGCCCGCCTGTGAGACAGATACCTGTGGCTAAAAGCAATTTAGCCTAAGGAACAGTTCCTGCTTCACTCCTGACTACCTGTATCAATCCACAGTAACTAGATAAAGAAATATGGGGCCACTATATCTCTGTGTAATCTTTCTGTTAAGTGATAGCTTTATCTTAGAACTTAGAAGTTTGTCTTTGGAATATTTTATAACTATTTGTTCACATAGATAGAGTTAATTCAGGGATCTATAGAAGTCTTTTGAAAAACTTTCAACCTAAAATGAACTACCTGTTATGTTAATCTGTTACCCCTGGCAACTGACATCTATACCTGTAAATACCCACCTGAAACTTCACTCCTGCCTCACAATTGAAAGTAATACTGTGGGGTCCCCCAAGTACCCTTGCTTTGCTTTTTTGTTATATAAATCTATAAAACTGTACCTTTATCTAGTATATTCTTTTATTTCTATTATTTCTCTATTCTATTATTTTCTTATCCTTTGCAATGACCCCTGCCAAAGAAACCTGTTTTTTTGCTGGGAGTGTAGCTAACTCCCCGCAAATGGTCCTTCTCTTCTGAACTGTGCCACTTGCTCTGATTTCTGATCCTCCAACCCCAAAGCTAACCTATCCTATTTCTCAGCCCTTCATCATCCCAGTCCTGCTCCCCGGTGGTTGCTAGGACAAGCAGACACATAGGCTGCAGCAGCAGAGGTTGTCACAGGACCCAGTTTAAGAACCAGTTAAATTATTCAGTGCCCTCCCCACTCTAACTGCTGTCCCTGAGAGAAATCCAGGATGCAACAGATCTCACACGTGGCAATGGCTGCAACCACAGCTCTCCTGTGGCCTTGGCTCCACCCAGGGCTGTGCAGTCCAGGTTTTGCTAGCTTCTCCTCTTCCCCTGCCTTCCCAGGTCCTTGGCTCCCCAACCATCCCAGAGGCCCAGAAGCCCAGCAGCACCACCCCCACCAAACCCCAGCCAAAGCCTAATTGGAAGCCATTCATCGTGCAGCCAGAAAACAATTGCCGAGAAACTAGGATGTGAACCCAGGTGCTAGGGCATAAGGATTTTAGAAAATCCAACTCCATAAGCTCGTGGGTAATTCATTAGAAAATGGCACTGATGGGGATGATAGCAAAGGCTCAGAGGGATCAGGGACACTCACTGAGAAGGAAAGAACCATGGCAGTCCTGTCCAGGATCCTCTGGGGCTCTGCCATCCTGAAGATAGATTTTACGTCCTCCCAGTGTTTCTGCAGTAGGATGTGAGGACAAGCTCTGCCCCTCTTTTCTTGGAGGAGTTCTGAGCTTTGATATTTGGGAGAGGCAGTTCCACCTGCAGGAGCTGCTGCCTGCCGAGCCCAGGAAGAGGCTGTCTCGCTGCACACCTCGCCCTCAAGCACCGCCTTCCTGAGCCTTCTCTCCTGCCCACACCTGCCCCAGCTACCTCAACCTCTGATCTTTTCTTTCAGAGGAGATCATGGGGGCCCATGAGGCCAAGCCACACTCTCGCCCCTACATGGCTTTTCTTCAGATCTGGGATCAGGGGGCACGGGAGAGGTACTTCTGCTGTGGTTCCCTGATCCAAGAAGACTTCGTGCTGACGGCTGCTCACTGTTGGGGAAGGTGAGGACGAAATTTCCACACCCTCATGCAAATAATCCACAGAGACCTCTGTCTGAACACATGTGCAGGAGGCCTTCCTGGAGAAAGAGTGTGGCCGGGTCACTCCTGTTGGGGGAGAGGAAAGTTAGTGTCACAGGCACTGCTGAGGACAGAAAAGACCAGAGTGATCACGCCTGTCATATGCAGAGCCAGGGACCTGCTTTTGCATGAGAATGGAAACCAAAGCAGTCTTACCTGCTTCCCCAGTGGGAGCTGACCCATGAGAACCACTGGTGCAATTAGCAGAATGCCACCGCCTGAGACCTTCCCATCCCCTCAGTTTCCCCTTAGCTGTAGCCCTGCACTCCCTGGCTGTCTCCTGCTCTTCGTGACTCTTAGGCTGTACCCTGTGACTCCACACACACGCAGCCTCTCTCTGCTGTCCATGCAGCTCCATAAATGTCACCCTGGGAGCCCACAACATCACGGAGCAAGAGAAGACCCAGCAGGTCATCCCTGTGAAAAGAGCCATGCGCCACCCAGCATATGATTCTAAGAGATTCTTCAATGACATCATGCTGCTGCAGGTGAGGCAAAGTCCTGCTGATCTCACTCTACTGGTCCCCTTGGCCCTCCCACTGTGACGCTGTCCCTTCTTCCCTCCTTTCCATCCTGCTTCGCCTCAGAAGAGGGGAAATAGCTCAGCGTCAGCATGGCACCAGGCCCAGGAGGCCACTGGCTGACCTGGGCTTTCTTGCCTCTACCCCACCAGCTGGAGACAAAGGCCAGGCGGACTGCAGCCGTGCGGCCCCTCAAGCTGCCCAAGCGCATGGGCTTGGTGAAGCCAGGAGAGGACTGCAGTGTGGCCGGCTGGGGCCGGACTGTCCTGGGGAACAAAAACCCAGACACGCTGCAGGAGGAGATGCTCACCGTGCAGCAGGACAGGACGTGTGAATCTCTCTTCCGCCGGAATTACCGCAAGGCCACGGAGATGTGTGTGGGGGACCCAAAGACAACAAATACCATTTTCAAGGTCAGATTTTCAGCATCTACACAAGCAGTTCCCTGGGAGGAGGAACTTAGGAAGATCTGGACTATGGGAGTGGCCGGCCCCTGTGCCCTAGGGTGAGGGTGGAGTGCTAGTGCAGAGCTGGTACACTCAGGTTTGAGAGAAATCCTTCCAGACAAAGATTCGGAAAGAAAGAAATTTATTTTAGTTTCCCAAACAGGAAAGGGCCAAACACAAGAGAGAAAGGTGAAGAGTGTGTTGGTTTAGAAGGCCGCTTACTCAGAACTTTTATTTAGGAAATGTGGAAAAGAAGATGAAAGATGATTTATGGTTGTGCTCAAATTCACAGGGTGCTGTGAACTGTCATGTGTGCTCCTTCTCTTCTTAGAGGGAAGCAGATAATAGAATGGGCTGTGTGGAACTGCTGTGTCTGTTCCTTCTCTTTAGCAATAGACTGATAGCAGAAATGGCTGTTAGAGATCTTGTCAGGATCTTGCCCTCAAGATATGATTTGGGGCAGGAGCTGATGCCTGAAGTTTGTCACCCCTGCTGTCCTGCAGGAGCTTCTCCAGACTATAGAAACAAATTCTAAAAGGCAGTTTTAGTCAATAGGTCTAGCAATCCTAAAAGGAAAACTTTACATTCCTTTTTCTCTGCTGGGCTCCTCTTGGATGTAAACACAGAGCTCTGCAGGGCACCTGTCAGCAGGGAGAGAAAGAGCAGAAAGCAGGGAGAGCTCATGATTGATCTCTAGATGTCATTAGGAAATCCTAGGATTAGGTATTTTCTGCTATTTCCGCAAGACCCCCCTTTCATTCCCACCTTTCTATTGTTAAATTTAAATTTACTATAAAAAAAATGAACTCAGGAGCAGGGAAAATGTTGCTGAGGTCTTTCTTCTGTAACTGCCTCCAGCTAGTAATGGCCCTTGAGATCTTTTTATGGAGAGAGTTCATTTGAATCACTAAGAGGGAGATGGTGGATAATGGATGCTCTTGAAATCTACATTAGAGGTATAGTTTTGTACCAATGTTACCAGATACTGGAGAATGCAGAGTGTGAAAAGCAGAGCTAAATGCAGAGCTGCTAGGAGCAATAGCCAAGAAACCTAAGGGCACACATGGCAGGAGGAGTCACAGTTCTGAGGAGGCAGAGGGCCTCCTGGACCTGGGCACATGGAGAAGTCACAGAGCGCCCACTGTGGCAGACGTGGAGAGCACGGTTACCATCATTAGGGCTCCCAGCATGGGCACAGAGCAGACGGGCCCGGTCTGTAAGCTGCGCTCTGGTGGCATCACAGAGGATATGAGAAGTATAAAGAGGAGGCAAAGGGCAATATGGAGCCATATATACCACAGCATATTATCAGAACCTGGTATCCATGATGGGCTGGACGTTTAGGGAGTTCGCCATGGCTGGAAGCAGCTTCTGAAGCATCCAGGGCCAAAATCTCAGAAACTTAGCTGTAGTGGGAGTAGTGAGAATTATTTAAAAAGGACCTTTTTCTAAGGTTGGCCATCCCTTTCACTCAGCCCAGAGCATGGGCAGCCTGGGTGCCCCAGGAATCCAGTCTTTAGTCCATGTCCTGTGCAGAGGGGGTGGGTGTGGGGAAGGTTCATCCCACAGCAGCGTTACCACCACGGTATGTCCCTGAGGACTGCAGAGAGAGGCTTGGCCTGGGTTGAGCTGGAAAGGACAGTCTGGATCATACTGGAGCCCCAGGACTCAGGGAGGTGACAAGAAGGCTGCCCCAGCCCTGATGCCACATACACAGCCCCCTAACAGAGACCACCCACCCATGAGTGGGGACACCAGCTCAATCTTCCTCTCTCTGCCCACAGGGGGATTCCGGTGGCCCCCTGGTGTGTAAGAAGGTGACCCAGGGCATTATGTCCCGTGGAAAAATAATTGGGACCCCTCCAGTAATATTCGTGAAGATCTCACGTTTTCTGACCTGGATAAGGAAAACAATGAAGCGTAGCAGACAAAGGAAGGCACAAGACTGACGTCCTCTGAGCTGGACCATCTTTTCTGGGGCAGAGGCGAGAATCCCACAGAGGTGGGCAGTGGGATCCCAGGAGTGCAATAAATGGATCTCTCGCCTGAATATGGCTCAAGTCTTGTCTATGCATTGAACTGCTCTCAAGAAGTGACAGCCTGCTCCAGGCTGCCCTCTGCTGTCAATTCTGATTTGCTTCCTCCTTTGCCCCACTGCCCGCCCTCCTCCCTAAACCCCATGCTGGACAATTTCTCATCAATTTTTCAGGCATGTGTCTTTGATACTTAACTTTTTGCCAAAGACAATCTTCTCCCCCCATAAAGTGAACATATCTGACCTTTAGGAATTTCCTACCATCTCTAAGACAAACACTTTCACCAATCCCTGCCCAGAGACTACAGCGGAGAGTGGAGCACTAAGTGAAAAGGGGCTGACTCCAGGGACCCCGGTGGCCGGGCCCAGCCAGGAGCACCCTAGTGGGGGCACGCTTCTGCCACAGCCAGGCCTGTCTGCAACTCAGGAGTCTGTGATGCTCCTCTGATGCCCCTCAGCCTCACCCAGGCCCTGCCCTGGGCCCAGCACTGAGCTCAGTCAGCCTCCTTCCTCCCTGGCCTTCCCATACAGACCCCTGCTTTTCACCCTGGTGTCCCTAGCCACCAGCTCCTCCCTGCTAGCCCTGTTTGAGCCAGTCTTCTCTTTCTCATCTCCCAAGGCTGTGCATTTCTCATTTCTCAAGGCTGAGCAGATTCTTCTCTATTCTTTGGCCCAGCCAGACCTGGACTGCCAGCCCACCTGATGCTGAAGGACCCAGCTCCACCTGCCACCTGGGCAGGGCTGGCTGAGGCCCCAGTTTAGCCAGGCATCCGCCTGGGGCTCAGGCATCTCCTCCTGTGCAGTCCCTCTGCAGCCTGGCCTGGCCTCAGTGCCCAGCCTCCCCCTGCTGGCAATGCAGGGTTATGGTGGCCTTGCACAAGAGGGCTCTGGGGCTGCTGGGCTGGAAGGACCCCTTTGCCACCCAAGTAGACAAATACCTGCTGATCTCACTCTCTTTGTGCAGGCACATAATACACTCTTGTTCCTACTTTTAGAAAACCTACCGTGATGAGAAATTTCCTCTCAATTCTCCTAGTTCCCCTCCTTCCACCAGGAAAGACAGTGGCACAAATGGATCTATATTTGGAATCCACAAGAAATTCTGCTTGGAAAGTAATTAAATTCTCTGTAGTCTATCTGTAAATCACAGTGTCACATGCATGATCTGGTTTCATTCCAGAAGGGCAGTCTGTGAAATTGGAAGAAACTTAGAGACCCTCATGTCATGAGCTTTCTAATCTGTGCTCAGTGGAGTCTGTATCCAGAGGTACGAGGGGAAGAAGGAAGCAACTGGAATAGCCTTAGTTTTGCTAATTTTGCACATAGAAGACATGAATGTCAGTCCACAAACCTAAAAAAAATGCTACAGTTCAAGTGCCAGACAGTTAATTGCGACCCAGGTGACCTTATTTAGGATCCTTATCCCCAAACAGTATCCCTAGGGAGATACCCCCCACCCCCATCAGACAGGACAGAACATAATAAATTCACAATAGCTGGACAAACACTGCATCAAGTAGGACCAAAACTGGGCGAAGCAGCAACTTCCCCTAAAAAGAATAACAAACCACATGGATTCAATAAATAACAAATCCAGCAGATTTGAAAACAAGAGGAAAAGCAAATACACTTATTTTTCACATAAGGCTGTTCCATTGTCCACCTGACAAGCCTTCCCTGGGGATCACAACACTGGCAGTGGTATAGATGAAACAGGGGTTAACAGCATCTAGAGATGAGCAAGTGAGCAGCAGAGCATGCAGGAGCTGGGGGCAACCACACAGAAGACATGTCGTGACACCAGAAAGTCAGCCCTGAAGAGCTCCACAGAGTCCCAGGATGTAAGCCAGACACAGCAGCAGAGTGACCTTAGTCCCAGGACATAAGGACAGCAACAGAGTGACCAAACATGCCCACCACCTGGGGCAGGAACCATGCCTAATGGGTCAGCGTTGCCTCTTACACCTGATAGAAATACTCGACACTGAGTATAAGATACATTAGGAAGGAAAAACATTGCCTTACAATGACTGGAGCACCATGAAGACTGGGCTGCTCTTGATACATCTTTCCTTAAAGTGATCTCCAAATAAGTTTACATTTATTTGTCTTTATTGATCTATGATTTTTATTTCTAGGACTTTATCCTATGTAAGATCTCAATTGTGTAAGTATATGTGTGTGCGTGTGTGTGACTATATGCGGGTGTGTGGGAGGGTTACCCATAAAAATGTTCATCACAGCATTATTTAATAATGGACACCAAACTGCAATCAGTATTAATGTCCAAAATAGGGAAATTATAAAGTACGGTGCATTTGCCTTATGCAGTATACGGCCCTTAGCATCTACCTTATCCACCCTGTACAAAACTAGGCCAAGTACATTAAGAGGCAAGTTATTTTTTTAAAAAACCATACACAAATAAGTATTTGGGGGAAAGTAAAAGCTCACTAACTAATCAATGAAAAATTGAAATATTAGTAATTTTTTGCTTATCTAAATGGAAAGGAGTTACAAAAATGATGACATTCAGATTCAGTATGGACATTGAGAAAATGATGTTTTCATAACTTACATACAAAGATCCTTTAAAAAAAAAAGTCTTTGACCAAGCTATCAATCACACCAAGAACACTGAACAAGGTTATTCCTTGTAAAAGCCTTGTTACATAAGTAAAATCTTAGAAGTAATGCCAATGTCCAGCACTAATCTGGCCATTTGTTTTTAAAAGTGGCTTATTACGGAAAATTACAGAATCATTAAAGTTATGATACACAACTACATTTTGTTACATGGAAGAATATTCACCAGGTATGTCTAAGTAAAAGCACGTTATAGATTAATATATATTAAAATTAAATTTTTCCTTATACACATATTTTTCTTTTAGCTTTTGTTCTTCCTGGATATCCATTTTCCTAATTTTTTCACAACTTTTATGTATTATTTAATAAATTAAAAGTCGATTTAATAAATATGAATGAGATTCTAAAATGATCCTCAGTAATCGATTTTTAATAAAATGAGGGGAATATTTATGTTCAATAATTAAAATATAGGATTCAAAAGTAAATATATTGTGATCACACCTCCTATGTAAAAATATACAAAAAAAATCTAGATGAAAATACAACTCTGTTAACAATGACCAACTGGATGGTGTGAAAAAGACTGACATATTTATTCGTCAGGCACAGTAGCTCAGACCTGTAATCTTAGCACTCTGGGAGGCCAAGGGACAAGGATCATTAGAGGTCAGAGGTTCCAGACTAGCCTGAGCAAGGGTTAGGCCCCACTTCTACTGAAAATAGAAAAAATTAACCAGGCAACTAAAAATATTAGAAAACATTAGCTGGGAGCAGTGATGCATGCCTGTAGTCCCAGCTACTTGGGAGGCTGAGGCAAGAGAATCCCTTGAGCCCAGCAGTATCAGGTTGCTGTGAGCTACACTGATGCCACAGCACTTTAGCCTGGGCAACAGAATGAGACTCTGTCTCAAAAAGAAAAGAAAAGACAAGACAAGACAAGACTGACATATTTCTTCTATTATTTAATTTATTCAGTATTTTAAAGTTTACAATTATTAAAATAACTTTATTTTTTTAATATTCCAATGAAAAAGGCATCTATGAAATGCCTGAAAATGAATTCAAAATAATGATATTAAAGATAACAAAACAAAACAAAAAAAAAAAGAAACTCAGTGACACACAAGAGAACATGCATAAACAATACAAACAAATCAGCAAAACAATTCATGATCTAAATGAGAAATTCAGCAAAGAGATAAATAGTATAACGAGAACAAAACAGAAATCTTGGCACTAAAGAACTCAAAGAATGAAATAAAAAATACAGTTGAGATCTTTAACAACAGACTAGATCAAACATAAGAAAGACTTTCTGAACTCAACTACATGACTTTTGAGACTTTTGAAATAACTCCGTGAGATAAAAAAAAAAAAAATGAATGAAAAAAGCCTATGTGTGAGATACCTGAGAGCAACCAAGTATTTAAATTTTGGGTATTCCTGAAAAAGAAGAGATGGGCAAAGGCATAGAAAAACCTATCAAATGAAATAATAGCTGGAAACTTCCCAAGTCCTGCAACACATATAGACATCCACATGCAAGAAGCTCAAAGATCCCCACATAGATTGAAAGAAAAAAAGTCTTCTTCAAGGGACATTATACTCAAAGTTTCAGAAGCCAAAGATACAGCAAATTCTAACACCAGTAAGAAAAAATTGTCTAGACACTTCTAAGGGAATCCTCATCACACTAATAGTAAATTTCTCAACAGAAACCTTACAGGCCAGGAAAGAATGGGATGGTGAACTTAAAGTACTGAAGAAAAAATTAAAAACCTAGAAGTCAAGAATACTATACTAAGCAAAGCTAGTCTTTCAAAGTGAAAGAAATATAAAGTTTTCTTACCAAAAACTTGGCCCTTGTCCTCAAGGCTGCATCAGAAAAATGACAGTAAGTGTTTGGGGGAGGAGGAAAGAGAATTTTTATTACTTTCCTGGAAAAGGACAAAAATGGCAGACCTTGTCTCAAAATCCAAATATCCTCAACATAGGCAGAAATACAGAGTTTTTAAAGGGAGGGTCCCTCAGTTCTAGGCAATTGTGGTTAATTACTCTAATTGTCCCATCTCTGCCACATACAAAGCCAGGGAACTCCTGCTTCTCTTGGCTTTTCTCCTGTCCCCTGGGGTTGAGGCAGGTAAGTGACTGTACCCACCCTCAGAGGTCTGGCCCCATCACATAGACTCTAGCCAGACTGCCTTGGCACATTCTAATTCTGTATCTTTGAGCAAATAATTTGAATTTATATTTCCTCAGTTTCCTCATCTATAAAATGGGAATGATGTTAGCACTGACCTTGTAGAGTTGCTATGAGAAGTAAATTAGTTAACGTGCATAAAATCTTGGAATTGCCCCGGCACATAGTAAGTGCTACATAAAAGTGCTCTATATAAATCCTTTCTGCAGC